GAGGCGGCAGACGTCGTGCACGGCGCGGCCCTTGTGCATCTTGCTGACGACGGCGCACTGCGTGGCGTGGCTCAGCTCCTCGCGCTTCAGGTACACCTCCGACTTCTCCGAGCTCCCCTCGTTCTCCTCCGATTCCACTTCCATTTTAATGGACTCTTGCATGGATATCTTATTGGATGCTTTGTTACTGACCTTGTTCTTCGCTTTTAATTTCGCTTTACTTTCAAGGCTGTAATCAAATGAAAATAAAAAATGTAAGTAGATTTGTATGAAACTTAAAATATGTTATTCAATTAATTTGTGCACTTATTTAAAAATCACTCACTTGGCATTCTGTAGTAAAACTTCCGTATTGTTTGTTTCGTGGGCGATCAAATGTTCTTCCAGTAGCTCTGTCGTATGGAGCTTCATGGGACACAGGGAACAGGGTAGAGTTGCTTCATGGGTGTTCAAATGTCTCAACTAAAATTAAATCAATCACTAGTGACCTTTGACAGCACAGAGACATTACAGACAATTATGTAATCAAGACATAGTAAAGAAATTATCTCTGGGAAATTGCATTGTTAAGTATAACACTACAAGTTACTTTATTCTATACTCAAGTGAATACAAAGGGGATGTACCATGTTGATCCTGAGAGTGTAAGCAGCGCCGCATATGGGACAGATCTCCACCTTCTCCATGTGCACGCGGCTGTGCAGCCGCAGACTGAACGCCTTGTTGAAGTACCGTCCGCACGGCTCACATTTATGTCTAAAAATAAAACTATGATAACCACAATATCCAAAAATGCATGAATGTATACATACATTGTTATTATTTCTTTATGTCATTATTTCTTGTTATATTAGTGAGACAAAAATATTGTTTTAGTAAGCTATTCCATTAGAAATACTGATGCAAATATTTCTAAGACCATTTGTAGACAAAAAATGTATTTGAACTTTCATTAGTCTGGTGCAGTCCCTCACCTCGTAACAACCTGGTGTTCTTTGGAATGATCCTTGAGATCAGCACTTTGTTCAAACACAGCATCACACTGTGCACATTCATATATTCTCTTCTTTTTTGTATTTGCTGGAATTATGTTTCGTTTTCTACGCTTCTTTTGTTCTTTTGTTTGAGATATAGAGACATTTTCATTACGATACTGTAAAATTGTAACAACTCTTAGTCACCACTAATAACAGGTAATTACACTAAGCATTTATTTACACATTACCTTTAGCTAACAGTAACTATCAAGACATACTACACAGTTGGGGTGACTAAACCAGACAACCATGCTGATTGATTTCACATATATCATTGAATTTCTTCTTCATTGAATTATGTACATAAAAAATTCTAAAATCGAAAATCACATTGGTACTTGGCGGGATTCGAACCCAAGACCTGCATATTACAAGTCAAGTGCTTAACCACTGAGCTACCAACACTCTTCTCTCATCACTCATCTCTCATATTGAATATGATAATACTAAAATACATCTTAGTTTAGCAGGTGAAAGAGCTCTGTTAAATGAAGGATTGTATGCCAGTCCTGTTGTTGATATTTTGAAGGTCTTTATTTCATAAAAAAAAAAGTTATCTATGTATACATACTTTCAAACTAATTTGAATCTTTAAATTACACTTTGCCTTTTACAAAATTAAAAAGCAGTTACTAACTACCATGCCAAAACATTACCCCACTAAAATCCAAAGGACCGTCATCTTCTACTTCTTCAACTTTGACATGGACGAATACATGCGGCATAATTCCATCCTCGTCATCTTCGTCATCATCATCAGCGTAAGTTTTTCTTGGTGGCCGTTTTCTTTTATTAGTTTTCTTCTTGACTTTACTCTTTATTACTGATAAAACTTCATCATCGGACGAAACATCGCTATTTTCACAGTTATTCACTTCGATACTCGATGCCATTTTTATCAATGAAATTAATAAAATATTTTAAAAGTCAATAGGCATTTCTACACATTTAGATAAAAATTCAAAGTAAATAAAAATATTGAACATTTGACGCCATTTTTGATAGGTGTCAAAATTAACTGATTTAAAAGGTTGCCACTTTGAGAATTCTTTTATTTAAGTTATCTTTAAAAAAAACAAGCTTTCGAATTACGTCCTCGACTTTAAAATTATTGCTTTGTTTGCTTCCAATATTTAAAGCAATTTTTTACGTATTTTCCGATATCAAATATTTTGTTTTGTTGAAAATGATATTTTCAATGGCAATTAAATGATGTCAACATTGAAAAGTAATAGCTGTCATTAATGATATGAAAAAAAACCAACGCGCTTCGCTTCTCTTTTGGAATTTATGTTACTGTAACAAGGCTCGCTTTTGTGTTTCACTTCGGAAAAGTTAAAATTTTTCGGTACAATCATGTCAACAATGCGCTAATAACGTTTCTATTGCAATAATACAGCGATTATGAGGTATTTTCTGTTGGACTATATTCGTTTTAGGGATCAATATCGCTCTCGCCTTGTTATGTGTCCCTAGCGTCACTTCTGCAAATGGAGACGAAGTCTGGCGTCGGCATACAGGATCATTGGATGAAGAGTGTTATGGAGCCGGCCAGCGGTGACAAACAGATGCAAAACGACAATAGATGTGTTAAGCGGGAAAAAATGGCAGAGCAGTACAACGGCAGTGATAATAATGTGACTTATGAGCTGAAACAACAACAACAAAGCGACACAAGGTACAGGTGCGACGTGTGCGACCTCACCTTCGACGGCATGGAGTACTTGATACTGCACAAAAAGTTTCACGGCAACGACAAAGACACCCAGCCGATGGAACCTGAGGCACCTCCTGCCAAGGAGGGCCCTAAGAAAAGACGGAAATTTAAATGCGATCTTTGCGATGTGAAAGTGAACTCGCAGTACCATCTGGACATTCACCGCAGCAAGCATGATGGCATTGAGTCCAAGAAGTACATGTGCGAAGTTTGCGACCGCAGCTTCGTTGCGGCCCAGTTCCTCAAGAGCCACATGCAGACACACTCCTCGACCAGCACCATCAACTGCGAGATCTGCAACAAAAGCTTCACTGGCCAGGCGTACCTCAAGCTTCACATGCAGCTTCACAATGATGTCAAGAAATTCAAATGTTCCAAGTGTGATCAAATGTTGCCAACTAAGAACTGTCTAAAGATACACATGAAGAAACATACTAAAGTGAAAAATTTCAAATGTGACTTCTGTCAAAAGTTGTTTGTTTCCAAAATAACAATGGAGAAGCACAGACAGAGCCATGAGGGTCAGCCACTGGACTGCCTGGTGAAGTGCAGCCACTGCGACAGGAGCATGCATTCGTCGCTGCTGCGCACGCACCTGACGCGCGCGCACCCGCCCGCCGCAGACGACGACGTGAAGCGGCCGCACAAGTGCACCACCTGCGGCAAGAGCTTCATTGTTAAGATAAACCTGAATCTCCATATCCGATTGTGCCACCCCGACCTCGCGGAGCCCGAGGATGAAGATGACGATGTCATGACGGACAATTCTTAGTTTTAAGTATACCATAATGTATTATCACAAGATAATTATACTTTTTTATGCTATCAAATATTAGTATTTTATTTTCTTTAGGTTAGTAAGTGTTCATTTGATGCACTTGTTAGTTCTAAAGATTGACAAACTATTTTTTGTTTGTTTTGAGTCTTATTTTTTCTGAATATTATGTGGCTTTAGTATATTTTTTATATAAAAAATAATTATGACAATAAAAAAAATGATGACAGTTTTTGTTTGTGATTATTTAAAATTAGTATTTAGTTGAAGTCAAGCGAGCATATACCTACCAGAGAGCCATCACTTCATTTGCTGGTAAATCTTAGAAGCTGATATGTTCTATGGAAGTGGACTATCTAGTTCAGTCACTTGGTTGATGTCACTTTACGATTTTGAAGAACTCGGGAGTTAAAAAAATGTTTAAACGAATGTCTATTATGATGAGAACATTTTACACAAACAACAATAATTTTGGTACCATTTATTATCTAAATAATTAGTTTTATAATATAACATAAATAATGTCTAGGTAAGAAATTGTCAATTATTACATTAATAATAAGTATAAAATTAATTAAACAGATTAATGTTTGTGTTCACTATTCAGTTTTTACTAAACTATTTTTAAATATGTAGATACAATTTAATAAGCATGATTTAACAAGCTTTTTTTACTCATTTAAATGTGACTTTCTTAAATAAAATACATTATGACACAAATCTACAATTCATGCTCGTGATAAAAATAGGTGCGAATAAGACTACAATTATTTACAGATTTGATTTTAGGTACAGTCGTGGAAATCTGCAGTGTTCCAGTTACACGAAAATTGTACTTTGCAACGAGACAAACTCCGCTTCTTTTTACAAATAACCAATTAAGTAACAGTGAGTTGCGCAAATGACGGGAAAAAAATAGCAATATTTGTTAGCCGTGTACCACTGAACGACCTTTTCTCATATAGACATTTCAGCTGCGTAATAATTGGTTATTGTCCGCTTCATCGTGTCGATGCTTTCAAACGACTAGTTTTAAGGTGGCGCACCGCGAAATTCTCCGACTGTATTCAAAGTACATACCTACGTACATACACATGTAAGACATAAATGTAGTTAAAAATACTTGTATTTGATTGTTTTTGTTTTCTTTTTCCGAGCGCTTTAGGTTTCTGGCCCTGCATTTAGTTGACATTCACAGCTTTCTGTAACGAAGCAGAAACACGTTTTATTGTACACAATTCATTTGTACTATGCATATAATTTTGATGTTTCTCGACAGACTTAGTGTGTAGTCATTATGAAGATCTGAGAATGATGATGAGATGATGGATGGGATTACTCGGCGGGATCCGGGTCCGATTTACTATCTGGATCTTGTCAGCAACGGGGAGAAATATGCCAGCCTACTGCGTCAGTTTACGCCACCATGGCATTAACGAAGATGTGGGCTGAAATAGAAGCTGAAGTGGATGCCCGACGTCGTAGGTATTGATGTGTTGTCATACAAAATGAAAATTGCGGTATTCCGCAGTTCACCTAACTTACTACTACTTGTCTAAGAATGAGATCGATTGGTAAAAAAGAAATCGCGCAGACGCACGAAGTTAGTGCATTCGAGGTGCTCACCGCTGCCGCAGGCTTCAAACTATCTTGTTTTTTCTGCTGCAGCTCCGCGCTGACCTCTCTGACGAGCAGCAGCTCGCGCAAGTGGTTTGGTACGAGGGGGTCGTAGACGCGCACTACGGGCTGCGCAGGGTCGTTCATGGCCTCGTGGAAAGCCGCGTAGCGCGCCGATAGCACTGCGTACCGCTCCTCGCTCAAAAAGTTTATCAGCCTTGCCTTTGATGCCATCGCTAACTTATTATCCTATTCCTGATCTCGTAGAATATGTACCTAAATTCAAATTTTCATGCATCATAATATGAAATAAGACATGTGCTAAGACTACGTTCTGGCCACTATCCAACAGCGAGTTTTGGATATCTGATGAGGAAAACCTGTCGCCTAATTGCGAGATATGCAGAAAGCCAGAAGATATCCAACACTTGCTGTTGGAGTGTGAGAGAAACAGGCGGGAATGCGAACTACTATTCCGAGAGTTGAAGCTCAACCCGACCGATGTAGGCATTATTATGTCAATATGCCATATCATATGCCAGCTCGTTTCTTAAAGCCTAAGAGTAGCACTATGGGGTTGACATGTCTTTCCAAAGTCAAAAATCCCCTTTTCCCAAACAAAGATTTAAAAAAACATTATTATACTGGCAAGAAATTGTTTAAACAGAACAGCGTTGGAGGTAGATCAGCGCTGTGCAAGCCTCGCTTCGGTACCGGTCTGTGCGTCTAGTTAATCTTTTAATCTATTCCTCGTATTATGTTTGTAAGAATCAGAGACGTTAAATTTAACTCTAATATGTTTCAATACAGCACTATCAACAGCGAAAACCATCAGAAACTGTGATTAAGTAAGCCAGAGTAAGCTGGTTTTTTTTTCGCAGCTAGACTAAGGGCTACAGCAGGTTACATTAGCATGGACGTAAAAGAGTTTAAAACACATATAGAAGTATATACAAATACCAAAAAACATATTTAAAATCATCTAGACTTGAAATTGTTTCAATTAAATAACAAAGTGATTGGATGTACGCACCTGCATGCGGTGAAGGTCGAATTGTAATGTGAACAACTCGCACGCTTGCAACTATTTAAACATTTTTTTCGTCTACTAATATATTAAAATAATAAATTAAGTCAGACATTGTAAACGCGTGGAAAATGTGTAAAGTACTGATGTCCGAAAAAGACGTGTACTATGGGCTACGACAGATTCTTTGGTCGAAAGCTTCGTGTACCTACAAATATGTCATTACATGACTAACTTAACTTTATTAAAAAATGAAATAAATACTACATGAACCATTGCGAGTCAATAATTTATGCAAATACATAACAATCAATTATGATTTAGAAATAAACTATATACGTTTGACATCGGCATCGGCCGGGGAATGCTTTGCATTGCTGTTGTGCGTTGTGCAACACTCAACACTCGATGTTGTGCGCCCCTGGAGGCCGGTCAAAGGTCAGCTTAATTACTAAAACTCCAAAATAACGTCCTAAGTAATTTACATAGAAACAAAAGCGTTTAATGTTCTGATTTATAATTCTCTTCATTGTTAATTGTTGAAAAAAAAATTTTGAAAAACTTCCCACTTCTGTTTTCGGTGAATTCCGATCGCCGCGGCTCAGTCGTGTACCATCTATATATCTTGTATATATATCCATCTATATCTATACCTTCTCCTCTCGGGGGCCCTTTTGTCCAGTCACTCAATGGAACATCCACCGAAGCGATCTAAGAGCTCGGCTGACTCCTAATCCGGTAATAACAACGAAGTAACGACCCCAGCCGAGGCTACTGAGGGAGTCCTCGAGCTTAATTGCTTACATACTAGGTTTAGGCTAAGTGCCATCTGCGCTCGGCAAGGCAAACAGTGGCAACCCAGTCTCAAAAAAATCTTTATCTTATATATAAATATATCTATAATAAAATTGGAATGTCAGTATGTAGTATCAAAAGGAAAATTTCAGATTCCGGGAAGACGGATTCGCGTAGCTGATAACGAATCTGTCCGCAAGACGCGTTTGTTCCGGGTATTATAGAGCCCGCAGTTATATTTTTAATGGAAAATCCAAAGTTATACAAATCTGGTATCATCGTTTTCTTGTGGGAAACACTAAAGACTTATTTGCATTGTCTTACGTTGTCTGCTGTATTCTTCAATCGGATGTTGGCGCCTCTGTTCACCCTAGTTGGTTCTGCAATCAAAACTAAAGCCATTATCGATAGTATATGTGAGGCTGATAGCATCATACTTTCTCACCGGACCATAAAGTATATAATTTTGTTTTAGTTAAATTTATCGATTATCGGCATTTTGCAAATTATTCATTCCCTAAGTTTATCATAATAGTATAAAAATATTTAGCCTAAACGTGTTGAAAGTTTAGGGCTTTTTATTAAAAAATAAATTATCCAAAAACATACATATAATAGTCATATCCGATATATCAGGTATTAAAAAAATGGAGAAGTGTGTGATTACGCTTTATTGCCCTTTATTATATTAGTATAGAAAAAAAATGTTTCTGTTTATATTCGAGTTTGGTAATGTACATCGTGAAACGGAACGCAAAGCCACCCCTCGTTATGAGTCACTCACTGCGCCCCAACCCCGGCCGGCTCGCGCCTCGCGCCCGCACGCGCCCTACAGTGAGGAGGCGCGCGTGTCGCACACAAAATATTACAAATTCAAATATAGTATTATGTAACGTTTTTAAATTTTACACGTTTTTGTGTCGGCAATAAGTGCAGAAAGATGTTGGGCTGACCGCGCCGCGCCCCCGCGCTCTGCCGCTCTCTGCATCACGTCAATTTGTTGTGAAAGAAACCGCGATGTTTGGTTGAGATATATCGATTTTCCAGTGACGTGCGACAGTAGCGGTGTATGCGGAGCACGGCGTGTTCACGACTCGTGTACTGCTTTTATATAATATACGATATACCATTATGTACTGACCGATATGTGCGCGTTTGTTGAGTGTAAATAAATTGAAATCAAAAGGAACACAAAGAGACTGAAAAATTTCGGTTTATTAAGTAATTTAAATTAATTACGGTGATATAAGTGTTTTGACCAAAATTATAAAATGATCTGACGAGTGCAAGCTAAGATAATTAAGAAGGGAAAACTGATGCAGTATACGTAGGTGAGGTGGTGAGGTCCGCCCTGTCCCGGGCCGCTGCTGCAAGCGCTCTACATGTTTCTTATTGAAGGTCTTTTTATATTTATTTACAAAATTTGATTTTAATCTAAATATCTTTGTCAAGTTTACGTAATAAATAAATTAAGGTTTTTTTATATAAACAAATGGATTAAACTTACATTATGCGTCGGCACTTGCACGGTTCTGTTTAATATTTATTTCAAGGTATGTAGTGTGTTAGTGCTCGTTGCCTAGTGCCTGGTGCCTGGTGCCTGGTGGGTAAGATATCAGTGGCGACAGTAGTCGTGTGTCAGGAGTATGGGGATGCTCCCCACAACATTCTGAATATTTCCGTCTCTTCCCCTTTCAGAAGGCAATTGTCGCCGCTAGCCGTGTGCGGACTGACTTACACTGACCTAGGCTGTCACGTTTCGGAACAACTATTTAAGTACCTAATTCAATAGGTATAAATCATTTTTTGTAAGGGATTAAGAATAAATATATATCGATGTGATCCTTTTAAACTTTAGATTACAGTAATAACATCATTTAAAGGTTGGGCTGAATTAAATATTTGTATTTTTTTCTCATTGAAGGTTCAAATGTAGGAATAATGAACGGTAAAATAATTACAGAAACGCGTAGATTGATATTAGGTATATCGGAATGTAAACAAAGCTATGAATAGCCTTTTGATTTAAAAGCTACAAATCGTTTCAATGTATATTTTATAAAAAAGAATGCACCGAATAAGTACCTAATACAATACTACTTAGGGAGTTTAGAAGATTAGCTTGAGACAGGTGTGCCGGCTGCGACCTGAGACTGGTGTAGTTAACACTAGGTGTTGAGCCTCTCTGCGCACGAGGTCTTGAAAACCGTTTGCGTTGGAACCGATTGAATGAATAAATATTGTATGCCCAATTGTAAGTATTGCAATCGCGTCCTTTAATTCATTAAAGCTTTCATTACAAGTTACTGTTTATTTGGAAAACATTGAATTGTATAATAACTATAGCGTATCTTTTGTATCATATCGTTACCCGTTCTGTTGATGAAATCATAGCCTATCTACTCAGTGATATTGTAGTTTTCTAACGACGAAGGAATTTTTGAAATCGATTGTAGAGTTTCGGAGCCTATTCAGAGCCTAAAAACCAAACAAATCTTCCCTCTTTGTATCAAACTAGCCGTTTCTTGCAACTTGGACTGTATGAAATTATAAAATAACGAGATGTCGCCACCACCCACCCGTAGGCCGTTAGACAGCTCGGAATTTTAAAAAAGTAACCTAAAATATGCCTATCCTATGTCAGCTACCCGCCAGTGGAAGTCCCGTCGAAATCGGCACAACCGTTTCGGAGATTACCCGGAACAAACGCGGCTTGCCGACAGACAGACGGACAAAAAAAATGCATTTTTGAAATCTGGAATTTTTCTTTTGATGTTACAAATAGACACTCCTATTTTATTATATGTCTAGAAGATAGATATAGATAGAAGATAAAAATAAGGCCTATGCTTCTTACTAATAACGTAGCTTTTTAATGGTTTCAAGTTTCAACCATCGAAATACCTGTACATTATTTATTAAATACATTTTCGTTGACATTACAGTATGTATCAATAAAAACCCACGGTTATGCACAGTTTTGCGAATCGTCAACTTTTTTTTAGTTAGAATTCTTATTTTAGTTGGACATCGTTACGTATGTCACAATCGATGCACTGACCTAAAAAATAGTGGAATATGGACAATGGTGATTGTGCAGCGAGACAGTTAAGTGGCTGCAGCATGAAGAGAGCCAGCTGAGCTCGGCGTATACGCGTGCTTGGCGCGGCGAGAGCGCGCGGTGGCGAGGCGCTATGGTCGGAGCAGCGAGGCGGCGGGCGCCGCGCCTCGCGCTCTGAACATGGAAGGCGGGAGCGCCGCCGCGACCGCGGAGGCCTACCAGTACGTCGGGCCCTTCAGACTAGAGAAGACCCTGGGCAAGGGACAAACAGGTGAGTTTTTAATATATCTTTTTACAATGACACTAAAGCGAAATAATCAGATTAATAAAAGTTTTAAGGGCACTTTGACTATCACTCTAGACACTAGAAGGTTCCGGGAACTTGACTCCGCTCTTCATTATTTCTAATTGTAATTCTCACTCCTTATAAGAAAAGGGTAGGTAGTAAAAGTGGACTAAAAATAGGCCCCCGGCACTCATCAGACGAAGGGCGGGACCGCTTCCACTTGCCGCGGATCTCCTATGTGGTCGTGGTATTGCGGAGTGCGAGCGGCACATTCATACAACAGGTGTTGTTAGTGGCGTCTACCACTACCACTGTTAACATAGTATAATAATGCGTATAGGGTTGTTGAGGCGCAACAGGTCGCTAAAGTGGGGCATCATTGTTAACACAATCATAGCAACGCGATGGCTGCTTTATACCTACTAGCGTTACCTGCCAATTAAATAAAAAAGTAATGCAGAAAATGCAACAAATTTACTTAATCCTTTAAGAATAATTCAATAAAGATGAAACAAAAATCGAAATTACTTAATTTTTAAAAAATTCTGGGACCAAACATTTCACATCCTTAGAATATCTTGTCAAAACATCAGTCATCAGTCCAGTTTTAGATAAGTGGACCAATCATATTTATTTTCAGGTAAATTAAATAAATACGTAGAAAACTAAGCGTAGTATGCGTTGCTTTGTGCAGTGCAATATCTACAATAGATACAGTACACATATGTACATGATATTGCCGGCGACACGCACATTGCTATCTAGTAACTCCAACTGTATGTTGTATAGTTAATTTACTAAGTTCCAAGAAGAAGACTCGTAGTCATTAATTAATCTTGGAAACTGATATGTGGCACTTGTACACGATCATAAAACTTTGTACGATAATTTGTACTTATTCAAAAGGCTAATTTTCCTTTCACCTTAACACTTCAATTTAAATGTGATTCACACGCATACTTTCATTTTACTTAGTTATTGTTAATAGAAGATTATGTGCATTACACGCTTTAAAATGTTTGTCGATAACGATGAAAAGAAAGGATAAGAGCGAGAAAGAAAAACGAAATGGTATTAAAGTTGTTTATGTAATTAATGTGTGTCTCAGGTCTGGTGAAGCTGGGCGTGCACTGCGTCACCGGGAAGAAGGTCGCCATCAAGATCATCAACCGCGAGAAGCTCAGCGAGTCGGTGCTCATGAAGGTACTGCGCATCTCCCTCGGGTCTGTACAGGCTGTACAGCTTGTACTGTATATGTCACAGTTGAGGTGTGCTTATTTACGATGTGCAGGTGGAGCGGGAGATAGCTATCATGAAGCTGATCGAGCACCCTCACGTGCTCGGCCTCTCCGACGTCTATGAGAACAAGAAGTATCTGTGAGTCCACCATACACACACTAACTTAAACACACACACACACACACACACACACACACACACACACACACACACACACACACACACACACATTTACGCACAACAAAAACACGTTTACATCATTATTTTCTACGTTAGTGCATCTTTAGACGATATCTTATTGATGTCCTTAGATTTAAGGTTACACAAAACGTTGAAATATGAATTATCTATAACTATACCAATGTTATAAAGAGGAATGATTTGTTTTTTTTTTCGTATGTATTGAAATAACCCAAAAACAACTGGGCCGATTTAAAAAAAATCACCATTAGAAAGCTACGTTATCGCTGTGTAATATAGAGACAGGCTGCACACTTCTTGAGATTTTACAGTTTTTGAGCCAAGTTCCAAGAAGATTGGTGGTGGAAACTAATCATTCATAACCTTGTATTGTAAATACTATTTTAGTTGCACAAGTGGTGTGTATAATAGCGACGCGATGTTAAGGAAGATCGATCGTTACGCAGTTATGCACTTCGCCGCGTCTAAAATGCACTCAACTTTACTTAGCTCGTTTTCAAAGTCGGCGCGGGGAAATTGCCACTCGCGAGAAAACGGCTATCCAATACAAAGAGACACTTTATGTTGGGAAACTTTAGTTTGTCCGTTAAACTGTGGCAGCGTTATGTTCACCAGTTCCAGTGCATCTAGCGTGTATCGATGACAGTCATAGGCGGGTGCACCAACTGCCTCATATTCTGCCGCTGTTGTACTGAAGTTTCCTTTTATGTTTTAAATTTTTAAAAAATTCTTCGGATCTCTATAAGGCCGTTACTATAGTCGAATAACATGTCGTATCTGTGTGCTACGCGGCACGTAGCAACGTATTGCACTCGACGTAACTCGTAGCAAAGCGTAGATCCCATCGCCACAGTTTCATAAGTACCAAAATATCAGGGTGCACTCTGTCGGCACACGTTATAAAAACATATAATCTAACACACACATTATCTTAGATATAGGTAAGACAACAATATGTTGTAAACGTTTTACGACACTACTGTATAATTAATTAGACGGTAAAGAATTAGTTACACTTGTGTAGAGTTTAACTGTAGACTTTCCCGTTATGAACGCTGGGCTCCACGGAAGCCGACTCATGTGACACAAGTCCTTTCTGAAGTACCTTGGTGATATCTTCTGGTATTGTGTGTTATAAAGTAGACGAGCACAAATTAAATAGTTAATGTAATGTGTATATGTGACGAGTGACAACGTACCGGCAGCTAACGTCTGCCTGCACCACAGGTACCTGGTGTTAGAGCACGTGAGCGGCGGCGAGCTGTTCGACTACCTCGTGAAGAAGGGTCGCCTCACGCCCAAGGAGGCGCGCCGCTTCTTCCGCCAGATTATCTCCGCACTCGACTTCTGCCACAGCCACTCCATCTGGTCAGTACCTCGCCCTCTTTTTATATCAACTCGCTCGCTCCACACTACTTGATTATCCGTATCGTACTAAGGTGTAAATAATTTGTAACAACGTGTAACTACATCGGCAGCCACCGCGATCTCAAGCCGGAGAATTTGCTGCTGGACGAGCGGAACAACATCAAGATCGCGGACTTCGGCATGGCGTCGCTGCAGCCCGCCGGCTCGCTGCTCGAGACCTCGTGCGGCAGCCCGCACTACGCCTGCCCGGAGGTCATCAGGGTATGAACATTTAACATTCATCCATTCATCTCTGTATCTCCCAAGATTATCCGATATGGAGTTGGGGTCAGTTTTTATTGTCAACTCCTTTAACTTCACCCTATCCTCGACGCCGTGATCTGAAATTTGGCGATCGCACATGTCCCTCGACACTAGTTTTAGGCCCGTCTCAGGCTCTCGTACCGATAATGAATAATGCTAGCCTATGCAAGTGCAAAATTCAAATTCAAATCATCCCCCATCTTACATATTCATTTAAGGTTATGTTTTTTTAATTATTTTTATACGAAAATGTACAAATAAATATACAGAACGGCGAAGAGGGTAACTAGAGGGGCTTATTCGAACGGGTCCCTGACCCTCGGAGAATTGCATAATGAGCGGAGGACGGCACCGAGTGCAAAGAATAGAACACTTGAGTGTGCGAGCCAATCCAATTAAAAAGTTTTCATCCTGCTGTGCGAGAATTTGAACAGTCCAACATGCAGTAATGGATGTATAGGAGGGCTGGTGGTGGCGTGCGCCGATCACCTTTGACGTACCGCACGGCGCCATATTACAATACAACACGTAGCGACATGACATAGACATAAGCAGTGGCTTATAATCAAAGTAATATAAATCATTATCTTAACATTAATATGGAAGTCATAACTTGGGGCTTCCCGCGGTCAATTAACCAGGAACAGGGGTATGTTGTGTCGGAGAGTCGCTCCCTCCCTGACGTATATTTTCATTTCAAGGCTCATACGAAACAATACGTATTGCAGACCGATGGTTTATTCAAAATAATTAGTAATTAATATTTTAAGAAAGGTATACGACTATGAATAATGATACTTATACTTTAAAGATGCTCTGATCGTCAACTATGTAGCAAAGCGTGTAGTGTGTAAATAACGAGGTGGTGTGTCAGGGAGAGAAGTACGACGGGCGGCGCGCGGACGTGTGGTCGTGCGGAGTCATCCTGTACGCGCTACTCGTGGGTGCGCTGCCTTTTGACGACGACAACCTGCGACAGCTGCTCGAGAAGGTCTCTGCGTTCTCATTGTCTACAGAGTGTCCTCACACATGCTCTACCGGGATAGAGGATTAAATAGATACAAGCATGCGAGGGGGAGAAAGATCTCACATCAAAGCAAATATTGCTACTTGAGGCTTGGTGCTTATTTATAGTTATGGTTTTAATTTATTTTTGGTCACTATTTTATTATAACGTATTTTTAATTGCCTTTGTTCCAAAGTTGTCTACTTGTTTCCGCAAAGAAACAAATTTATTTGTCTTGTTTCTGAATCATTGTATTATTTGCCATAAGCAATAACCTCACTACAACCATTGGTTAGTTATAACGTATTATTATTACGTCTTTGTCCTAAATTCACTTAAATATGTTTAATTGTATTGTGTTATCGTGTACGCGGCGTGGGCGCGGTGTGGGCGCGGTGCAGGTGAAGCGTGGCGTGTTCCACGTGCCGCACTTTGTGCCGCCCGACTGCCAGCAGCTGCTGCGCGGCATGATCGAGGTGAATCCGGACAAGCGCATCACGGTACGTGCACCACGTTGCTCACTCATACTGTAGCTATTTATTGATAAAAGAATTTTGAAATCGGTGAAAGTAGTTTTTGAGTTACTTCATTACATACAAAAATAGAAATCTTTCCTCTTTATAACATTACCATTTCAGTAGATATTACATTTGTTCACTCATCAAATGTCAATCTGTTTGAATACATAAATGTTATTGTAATTTTGATGTTGGTGTTGGTGGTGGTGGTGCGGGGGCGTGCGGCGGGGAGCAGCTGGCGCAGATCACACGGCACCCGTGGGTGACGGCAGGCGGACGCGGCGAGCTGGAACAGGAGCTGCCCATGATGGAGGTGGTGCAGACGCGCGTGCTGCCCGGCGCAGACGCGCTCGATCCCGACGTGCTACAGGCCATCTGCAGCCTCGGCTGCTTTAAGCAGCGCGACAAACTCATACAGGATCTGCTCAGCCCGCAGTCAGTACCTGACCGGGGCCACCCTTTTACTCACTAGCTCAACTCACGCGCTTTATATTCACCCCATCGAATTCATGGCTTTTACTCGAACATCATTATCTTTAGACTTAGACACAAAATGTGTCCGTCTCATTCGCCTCCTGTCCTCTGCTGAACATTGTCCTGCATAAAACATCACCTTCCAGACTTCCTACTCAGCTACATCGTCGATCAATATTGTGACTGTCTCCCTCGACAGATAATTTTGCCTCTCCGAACATCAGTTATTATTATGAAAACACTTTGCATAGGTTGTTTTGGTTAGCCTGAAATATGCTTATTCCAGTCACAACACGGAGAAGGTGATATATTTCTTGTTGCTGGAGCGCAAGCGGCGGCGGCCGGCGCGCGACGACGAGCCGCGCCCGCCCGCGCCCGCGCCGCCCGGCGACCCGCCGCGCAAGCGCCTCGACACCTGCCGGGTACGAGCCTACCCGCTTCTGCTACTGTGACCCCACAAAATATAATATTCTTCTAATTGAATATTAACCTTGTGATGTACGTCAGGTCAACGGCCAGTCTGCTCATTTCGGGCAGATCAGCGAGGGTTCGCCAATAACTCCCAGAAGATCGCAGATCAGGTACCAGCTTTAAATGTTTTTCCGCAGATAAAGCGATCGGTCTCGTCTCGTCCGCGCTTGGAAGATGAAGATAAAAACAATTTACTAGGATTGCTTCGGTCCGTGCCGCATGTGAATTAGAGTAAAAACACAAGTATTGGCGTTGTAGGACGGCCGTTAAGACAATGGGAGATCGCCGCTTACAGCTATTTCAAATTTAATGCTTTTATGTGAAATGTTTGTCTTTACAGATTGTTATATAACTATATTATTATCTTTAAACATTTCTTAAACTTAAAAGCGCGCTTCAATCTAAATAGCAGGTCATCTTCGGGGCGGCGCGAGGGACGCGAGGGGCGCAGCTCTCCGCAGCTGGCTGCGAGCCCGCCCGGTCAGTACTTCCCGACTTGTCTCTTTAATTACATGTTTATCAGACAAACTCGTGTATATTTGCTAACAGTCAGGTGTTGCTTTTAAATAAATCTGTATGTTTATTGTAGCGGGCCACACGCCGCACCGCGCGGCCTCGCTGGGCGGCAGTCCCGCCGCACCCGGCGCCC